ATGACGGGGGCAGACCCTTCAATTATTATACATACCAACTCATATTTATACGCCAACACCGACGTCGAAATGTTTCAAAGACCAAAACTATAATAGAATATCTCCCGATTACTATCACTTAAGAGGAATTTAATCGTTCCAGACCAGAAACTTTTGAACATTGTCAAATAAATTATACAAAGTAGTTAGTAGTAGTTAAGTAATCAGTACTTATACATTGAATTCTTATAATTTAACTCATACTCCATACAGGTATTTATTTAATATAAGTAGCAACATAAAAAAATTTGAAATATGGATCGGAATGTTGGGTAGTGAACAAGAAAACGGAACAAAAGATAAGTGTATTGGATATCAGAATTCTGAGATGAATTTATATTGTGATCTGAGAAAATAGGATAAGGTAAGAAATTAATATATTAGGGATAAGTTTGGGAGTGGCTTAAATTGTAGAAAATACTGAGGGAATAAGTTAAGATGGCTCGAATTTGTTTTAAGAATAATTAGAGCAGAGGTTATAAGAAGCCATAAAAAATGAAAAATAAAAGAAAAAATATGTAGAGGATGACCAAAATATTATTGTTGATGGAATTAAAAGTGATATGAAAGTATGTGAGAGTTGGCGAAGGAAGGTAGCCAGTACAGTTAGAAGACACTAATAAATACATAATTTATTCATCAAATTTCATTATAATATTTTGAAAATCATGAAATATTTATAACACCAATCCGGCAATCCAGATATATTAATAATGTTTTAAAAACTATGATAAATATCATTTATAAGTGTTATAAAAACTTAGAATACATTTTATATTCTTAGATCATTTTACTATATACATATAATTTAATTGTCTTTATTATTGTGCATACTTGTAATACTGAAATTATGTATAACATATTGTAAATGTAAGATAAGCTATTAATAATATAATCTATGTTAGTGAACAATAATTGTTATCCGAACCCCAGAGAATCCAGAAAACATGTCCAGTTCGCTAATGTTTACAAAACAATATCTTTACCGTTTTCTGTAAACAATATTATTTTAAGATGTACTTCACCCGCTTATTCAATAAATTTAGAAATATTATCATTGCATTTTTAACTTTTGGCGCATTCAAGTGTTTTTTAAAATATTTAAGTGCACACTGCATATAAGTGATTTATAGGCTCATATTAACATTATGTTTGCTAGATATTTAAACATGATGTTTATTTTAAAAGCTATGGCGTCGTTAGCTATCTTAGTTTAAAACTGTCTGCATTTAAAACTGTATTCGTTTTATTATATTTACTTTAACTTTAAATGTAGTTGTAATTACAAATATATAAAAAAAATTGGCTCTGTTTCATTTTATTTTTAAAAGTTGTGATATCTCTATCTTATAATATATATTTTTGGTACACGTACTTTTGGCTAGCATTTGGTATTTCAGTAAATTTATTAAAATTTATTTATTACAAACAATTTTTTTCATAGTCAACGTCAACGCATGCATATATGAATATTATGATCTATAATAAACTTAATTATTTGCTTATAAAGCTCATAAAACAATAAAATTGTGAACTTGATCTGTGTATTTACCTATAAAATAATTAGGTACTAATTTATTTATAAGATTAGAATTTTTGTTTTTTTAAACTATGAATACGCTTGTTTAGAAATTTTATAATCATATATTTATACTCAAACATTTTGTTTGAAGATTGAATAAATATTTCTTTATTCAGAAGGTGAAGTACTTTAAGTTTCCTACCAAATAAAAATTTAAAATAATTCATGTAAGAAGTTTTAAATATCTCCACCCTCATTTCTTCCATCTAATGCGCTTTCACCTTTTCTTAAACTTTAAAATTGTATAAAATTTCGGCCATCAGCATTTTTAACTAGGTTGACAATAACAGGTATAATAATAATATATTTAAAAAATTAATTTCCTTAGTGCTTTTTTACTTGTTTCTTTAATTTGATTTGATTTTATGGAACGTATCGGGAACAAATTTTTAGAATTATATCCAGGTATTTGAAATTGTATTGTAAATAAATACGATCTGTGAATAAAATATATAATTAAAACATAATTAATTTTCTAAAGCTCACAGTTTTAGAAGAAAAAAAATTCTTATTTATTTATTGTTTATTAAAGATAATTGCATCATAAGAAAGAGGAAGACCAAAAATGAGTTGATTGGATACAATTGAGAATATGAGGACCGTTGGTGTATGCGTAAGGAATGTAGAAAATCGAGATGATTGGAGGTTTAGGACAAGGCCGGTCGACCCCAAATAGTTGGGAAAAAGGTAAAGGAGTAGAAACAAAAATGATAATCGCATCAAATAACACTTATTAAAAATGTATTTATAATGGTTTGAACGAAATTAGTATTTAAAATATAATTGAAAACAAATATTTAAGTACTACAAAAAATATGCTTTTTTTATTAAATTATCCCACTGCAAGTATCTAGTTAGTATATTACTCATTATGGAATGAAAATATAATAATATAACTACTTCTAGATACAGGGCCGCATTTAAGGAAGGGCACTGGCTACAACTGCCCTGGGCGCAAGTTTTTTGGGGGTACCAAAATTTTGAGGTTGGAATTTGCTCACTTGTGAATTATTGAACTTTTAAAATTATTTTAAAATTATTATTTTTTTTTTTGATTTTAATAACAGTATCATAAATTAATGTTATTGTATTCAATTTATTAATATATATTATTAATATATTTATAACAATATAGCTATCAGCGAATATTATTAATATACCTAATATCAGTTCCCAAATTTGTTGTGATAATGTCAATAAACATAAGTTATTTATAATAATACGGCGTATTATGTTATCGCGTTCGGCGTGCAGTGGCGTGCCTACTACACAAAAATAGTATTGATTTTAGAATATCTATAAGATCAGTACATTTTTTAACTAAAGTTTTTTAACTAGTTGATACAAATGTCGTCCAGTGATTATACTCTGTCGACAATATTTTGAAAGATTGGGCGAAATAATGCGAAACAATCGTGTAATACTGTAGTCGTACTATGGTATAATATTGACTATTTTAAGAAAAATATTTTATGTCGCCCAGTGAAAATTCCTTATAAAATGCACTGTATAAGGTTTATGAGGATCTATCTCCTATATTTTCCGTGGATAGGCCCCTTAAAGGGGCGCCAATTTTTTTTTTTTTTGCGTCCGGGCGCAAAATTACTAAATACGACACTGTCTAGATATCTGAAACTGGAATTTAATTTTAGTTCTTTTTTTTATAAAATGAATGTAAATGTATACTTATTTCTTTCGGAAGGAACTTCCTAAGCACTGAAATTTGAATTGAAAGTTTAACAAAAAAAAAAATAAACTCAATGAAAGATCAGTTTAAATAACAAATGTGAAATTTTAAATTGTAAAATTAGACTATCTATAAACCATACGATGTCACAATTAAAAATTTCTTAAAAATAACTTGGCTTCGTCAATTTTTGTTGAAATTTTAAAGTTTCATGTTTCTAAGAATACTGAAATATTATTACGATATAAATCATTATATGTATAAATGTAATATAATTCAAAAATTTTATTATTAATACGTAATTATTTCTATACATAAAATATCTCTAAGACTTGGAACTTCTGATTATAATATTTTCTTATTAATATTAGCATTTTATTTGTGACAGTAGTAAGTAATTATAATTACATTAAGAAATTGTTCTGTAATTTTAGTTGTATAGAATTTGAATTGTAACAAAATAAACATGACACGATTTTAAATCAAACATGTCAAACACAGAGTGAACAACTGGACCAAACATAATGAATATATTTAAAATACACAAAATAAGTTTATACAAATTGTTCATAATTTTTATTCTCAATATTAAACTATTTATAGTTTATTTTGATTACTAGTTGTGAATTGTAATTCCAACGGATTTGTCATACCTTTAATTACAAACATTCACCCTTGCCAAATTCAAAGTATTAATTTTTCTGAAAACATAATCCAATGGAATACATTTGTATGTCCATATTATAGTCGATGTATAATTCGGCATTACATAGTGATGGAAAAGAAGATTTTAACCCTCCCCCCTACTCACTCGAGAGCGCCATTGAGTTGTGGTTGAAACACACGATGACGAACACAAAACAATTCATACGATCATACATCATACGTCAATGATTGCGTTCTAAAAACGCATCGAAAGTCCAGCGAATTTCTGACGTAAGACAATCGAATGCCTTACGCGAGGGTTAGGCGTTCGTGTTACGCGAACTGAGTGAAATATACGAGAATACATGACCCAACAACGACGGCGCTGCCGGTCCGTGGGCAGTACTTAATGTACGAATGGGGGCGACCGCCTTATTGACATATTCGCGAGTTAGGTACCTCCCCTAGACGGATTCGTGCGCGCGCGCCTGTCGCTGCCGCCGCTACTCGGCCCCGCACGGAACAGTAGAACCGTCATCGGGAGGCACGTGCCACGACGGCGTCGAATGGAGGCGGCGGCGGCGGCGTCGACAACAGCAATAATAATACATACGAAATGCGACATAATAGAGGCAGACGCGGGCGCCAGGGGATCGGCAAAGGTGTCTTGTGTGCACGTCTCATTGTTTCAGACGGCGACGGCGGCGGTTGGCGCGCGCGTGCGCGACCGAGTCCGATAATTAATCGTCGCTAGTAAATAATATTAGTACATGGCCGCCGCCGTGGCGTCAAATCCAGCGGCCCACGTTTTTCCCGCCGCCGCCAGCCGCTGGGCTTGTTCGCGTTCTGGCGGCACCGGCGACGGCGGGTTGAAATATAAATGGTCCCGCGCGACGGCCGTCTGCACCACCCGGCGGCAGACCGTGTGTGCGAGTGCGCGTACACGCACACCGCCGCGCACCACTTAGTGTCATTCGGCTCTTTCGCGCTCTACGGCGTCGTTGAGGCAGGCGGCGTCGGCGGCGGCGGCGGCGGCGACGGTCGCCAGTCGGCCAGCCAGCCAGCCAGTGTGCTGTCCGTACGCGATCACTTCGCACGTGTTCCGTCTTCCGTCACGATCTGTGCATTTCCACGCGCCCGCCTTCCCGCGTGTTTATACCGATATATATGTATATGAATATTTTTACCATCAATCCGGTTAATCCTTTTTCGGTTATTTGCGTGTATTCGAATTCCCTCTAGTACTCTCGCGCGAGAAAATTGTTTCGTCTCTGACGACACGATGCGTGATATCTTCGATGACCGTACGACCAACAACTACGTGATTATTTTTAAATAATAATCGTTATTGGACAAACAGTCGCAGTCGTAGGAACAGCCCGTCCGCCGTAAGGTTGTAGTGCAGCACTAGTCGTGTAGTAATACCAGTAAAACACACAGCAGTGCGCGGGTGACGATCAGACGTCGCCGTAGTCGTCCCTGCGAACCGCCGCCGCGATGGTCGTCTGCAAGTGCACCGCCGCCGCCGTGTTGTGCGTTCTAGTGACGATTTTGGCGACCGTGGCACTGGCAGCCAGAAAACACTCACCTCTACTCGAAGACAACGCATTGCCCAAGAAACCGTCTAGGGTGACAGGTACCATCATAATATCTACTTTACAACACTAATCTGATGGGTTAGGGGTAGGGGTTGTTGGCCGAGTCACATTCGCATTTTGCGTTACGAGTTGCTCGAATAATATTATAATGCCATACAACAATGAAATGCTCACATTTTTCGCCGTCACCCGGACGATGAAAGGACCGGTCGTTGTTTTCGTAAATCGATTTTGGCAATTTTACAAATATGTCTCCCTCGTCATCCGGGGCTATCGCAATTTATTTGTTCCGATTATTTTTAGCAATTATTTTTAGATATTAATTATCCTCGTGTCTATATCTGTACGTGTACGTGTGTGCGTGTGTGCGTGTGTGCTTGCGAACTGTGAGTGAGGGTGTACGCATATCATGTCTGCGTATAATAATAATAATAATAATAATAATAACATAATTTAATAACATATTAATAATATGCATGTGCACGAAATACTGTGTATGACCGTCTTATGAAAATGAAAACAATGAGTTTATGTTTTCCTATATTTACGTCGTATCTCTGTGTGCGGTTCGCATACTGCACTATACTTCTTGCTATAAATGCGTTTCTCATGTCCACCCCAGTGGCGTGATAATTGGATGTGTTGGATGTGCAATTCACAGGGGTTGCCAGTTTTGAGGGGCCCCGAAATCACTTCTGATATTACTTTTATCCCTTACAATATTCCTACTATAATCTGTAATATACACATATTATGTTATTTGTTTTAATATAATAACAATAAATAATAATAATAATAAACAAGGGCCTACTCTGGTTATGTTCACATGGACCCCTTATTATCGAGTTGCACCACTGGCCCACTCATTACAGTACAATATTGTACATTATTCTGCGTTACGTTATCCTTGAATTGCACGTGTTCGCAATGTCTGGGGCCTTACGCGCTGTTTTATCATCGTGTGTATTACTACAATACATGCGACTACACGAGTGGTATGCGTAGCCGTTTGGATTGAAAACGTGAGAAAAGCTAATTTCTCTATAATATAATAATATATTATATTATATTATATACATATATATATATAATTTACGGCCGAGTTACAACGTTATCTTTATTTTCTCCATAATAATTTTCGTTATCTATGGAAAATAATATGTTTGACGGAAACGATTCGCACAGTTTTATACCTGTGAATATATACATCCTACATCTTAATTTATCGGCTAGAAAGTTTCTTTATGATCCATCGTTTCGTTTCAATCAATAAGTATTTTATCGAGTTTATAAAAATATTATTATTATATATTTTTGGACTTAAGAGTTATTAACAATTATATTACGAGATCAGTAGGTTTTGTAGTCACTGGTTTGGCTTGTCAAATTTTTTAAATAAAAACATATGTTTTGAATTTTTCCAAAATTCATTTAATCTGACGTATATTTAAAATTAATTTTTAAAAAAAATAAAGAATAAATAATATTGACGTTTTATATATGTTGTAGTTTAAGTGGTAACTATGCAGACATATTCGGTCCATTCCATAAGATATAAAATCCTGGAATAGCGTGTAGTTAATTGCAAAAAAACGTGACACAAGAATAGAACGTACACTTTTTAATATATATATATATCGTGTAAAAATCAACAAAAAAAGAGACATCTAATGATAACTATTATGTTGTTATCTTCACACATTTAAATATACATATATCTGTATAATATAAGCACCTATGAAGCGTTAAATGTGTACTAAATAATTACCAAGGATAGAATTTCAGAAAAAATTAATTATTATATTTTTGCAATAATAAAACGTATAATTATGAGGTACATATGTGATAATTTAAATAAAATTGGAATTTTATTATTTAATGTATCTTTTAACAAGATGAACCACGTAGAGTTATCTTCCAAAAGTTTTACTTATGCTGGTTATATGTAACTACATTGCATATTTAAATATTATTTTATTTTTACATGTAAACTAATAGATAAATTTGTTTTCAAAAACTAAAAATTTAATAAAAAATTAACTCTTCCTATATAGTTATATATTATGTACTAAATATTGAAGCTGATTAACGTTTTGAATCAAAGGGGTTCGTACATGAGTAGAAAAACAACCCCTATATTTAAAGTACATATAATAAAATAGATTTTTTAATAAAATATGAGTTTTTATAAAATTAAATGTATAGGTTCTATCTAGGTTAGATCTATTCACTAAATTACACAGATATTTCCCTTATTGAGAAAATTCTGTGGATGCTTTTACTTTAAATAATATATATAGGTATTTTATATTATACAAATCAATTTATCTTTCATCTTTAACTATAATTATATATATATACAATTAATAATATTAATAATTAGTAATATTTATATTATTTATATTAACAATTGATGAATAAATTTATTCTTAATATTGTATAAATACATTTTTCAGTATTTAACTAGTTAAATAACTCTCAAAGATTGTTTTTAAAATATATTTATATTTTAACGTGTGTTTATTTTATTCTTCATAGTATTATTATTTATTACATGTTTAAACATGAAACCCTGCAAATTTCTAATAGCCATGCTCATGCATAATTAATGTCATGAAATGTCAAAATGTCTACCAGTTCTCAACAATATTTAACTTATGTGATGCCATATTGCCATTTTGTTGATTGATATATAAACATTTATTTTCATTAAAATTAAAAATTGTAAATGTTATTATCAAACAAATTTAATATTAATGTCTTTATGACCTTGCGAAAATACCATAATAAATAATATTATTTGAACAACAAATACATATTATGTATCTAGCAAACAAAACAATCTTAAGTGTTTCTTTTCTGAAAGTTTCACAATTATTCATAAATCAAAACATAATACACAAATTATTATGGTATAAAAATTTACGTCTCGCATTAAACTTAAAAATAACTCCGTAGCTCATTTAGAGAATATCGCTAATTGTATCATAGGTATCATAGGAACTTGTTAATAGTTCTGATAATCAATATTATCGAAAACTAATTTGTAGTTATTATTATTTATGATATTTTTAGTCAGTGAAATGTAACCCTTATATTATAAACTTATAATAATAGGTTTTAGTTTTTGACTTGCAAATGTAAGTATTCAATCCTTTTTTGGGTAAAATCGTTAAAATATTTAACCATTTATTACATTAATTGCAAAAAATCGTATTATACTTGATCAAATTAGATAAAATTAGCCTCTAAGCTCGATTAAGTGTAAAGAAATTCTGGGCACATATTGTGCGCACGCTTATATAAATTTTGATTATTCTATGTAACTCGTATTTAATACTTACACTTTAATATTTTTTGCGCTTTTTATTCATGAAATTTTAAATTGTGACTAGTATTCGCCAATTTTCGTTGTTCACAAAGCTTAATGTCCATGCCATAGTTATTATTCGCATAACGTACAACGTTCTATTTATTTTCTATTGATCTCCAAATCATAATATTATTTTGTGTGTTAAAACAAAGCAGATATACATTTTATATTATTACTAAAAATTGAGGAATTTATTTTTTCCACGACGTATTTTCGTGATTTTTACTTCCTTAAATTAATACATTTTGAATGATATAGAGTCTATAGTATAGACTATAGACAAAACTAAGAATATTATTAATTATTATATTTATATATTCCTTTATTAATTATATACTAAAAAAAATTAATTATTATCAACATTATATGGTGAATAGAGCTAAGAAAAAGTCATAACTCTGAATTAACGGAAGTATTTGCTATGAAAATATTTAACAATTGTATATTAATTACGTTTAAGACTTATAGTTGTCAATAGAATCATACATAATACCATTGATTATAAACACTATATAGTATTTATAATTAATGATAATATCTATGTGTTATTATCTTTATTTATTACTTGCACACCTACTCGTATTATGTTGCCACTATTTTAAATCTTAGGTTTTAAGTTTTAAATCTTACTCTTGTATTTTACATATGTATACACTAGTAAATTTAAAATAGTTTTAAATATTTAAAAAATATATATCTCTCAACTAATTGTCTTAATTGCCTACGTAAGTACATACGGCACAATAATTCCCAGTTGTTATCGATTAATTCTTAACCTATAGTATAAATATTTTTTGTGGTGAGTGGTAAATATTGTTTATTGCCATAATTATAGTATCAAGATTTGATGACAAGCGTTAGTCATTGAATGTGATATTATCTAAAAATATCGTTTTATTTCACTATTATAAATAATTATGTTTCAATTACTATAATGATGTAAGTAATTTAAGAACAATGTCAATCGGCGTGAAGATTTTTTTAAACGGTTTCAAATTGATATAGATTAATGATTATACTATGTTACAAATATTGCAATTGTTCAAATATTTCACTAATAATAAATCCAAATTTTCGAAGTTAATATTCCTAATTTTGGCGCCAAAATTATAGCAAAACCATTTAAATTTAAAATGACATGTGCGTTATTTGGTTTTTAACGTTTCGTGGGCGCAGTCGTTGCTAAGCTCCCCCACTTAATCACAGTCTTTCATCCAAAAATAATAAATCGCTTCTGCTCGCACTTTATACATACACACGACCATATTATATATGTATGCATGTACATATATGAATTCACCGCAGTCTCGTAAAACTGCCAAGTAATCACACGCGTCCATCGAGCACTGGGCGTCTAGACGCGGCCAACGACTTCGACACGCACTTTGCACCTACAACAGGGTATACCGCCAATAAGTTCCCGACAATTTGGCGTACATTCCAAATAATAATCGACTGCAGTCATAGTATATTTGATATTTCTGTACCATTATCATCTTGGAAATGAAAGTAAAAAAATACATTTTAATACATTATAATTTTATAGCACTTTTCTTCTGAAATCAGATTGTTGAATTGGTTAATTTATTTAATCTTATTGATTCTATATTAGAACTATTATAGTACATTCATACTTATAATTCATCCATTCTGTTACTCTCTGAA